AAATACAAAAATTAGCCAGATGGGTGGCTCACACCTGTAATCCCAGCTACTTGGGAGGCTGAGACAGGAAAATTGCTTGAACAGGAGGCAGAGTTTGCTGTGAGCTGATACTGTGCCATTGCACTCCAGCCTGGGCGACAGTGAAAATCCGTCTGAGAAAGAAAGAACAGGAGAGAGAGAGAGAGAGAGAAAGAAAGATCTAGAAAAAGGAAAAACAGAGCCTTTAGCATGAGTAAAATGAAGTAAGGACAGCAGCGTTTCTAAGACAGTGAAGATGTGGTTTATGCTTCGAGGCTCCTGGGATTCCTTGGGAGGTCCAGGGACACAGTGGGTGGGTCTCCTTGGCCCAGCTCCTCCTTTGTCACACCCAGGGATCTTTTCGCCACAACTGTGGGTGCTCATGTCCCTTCCATTCCCATGCAAACAGATGCTTAGCAGAAGCTCCAGCTTCAGATGAGAGTCTGAACAAAAAAATGTCTCAAAAAGAAACAACAACAACAAAAATAATTTAAACCCAAATGTTTAATCAAGGGATGGGAAAATACTGAAAGCATGAAAAGTGGGAAGGTACACGCTTGTAATCTCAGCACTTCAGGAGGCTGAAGCAGGAGAATGCTTCTCCTCTGCAGTGGTTTTAAGTCAAACCAAGACAAGTTGAATGGAGAGAAGCGGGCACAGTATTTCAGGTCAGCACAATTCAGCTGCGAGCACAGGTCCGCTGTGGAATCTTAGTCTCGTTTCTGACCTGACAGGCCTCAAACTCCTGCCCACTCAAGTTTAGCCTGGGATGTTTTCAGAGCTCAGATATGTTCTGCCTGTGTCTTACCTGGTCACAGAGAATTTAAAAAAATACCCCAAGCCACAGGCTCCACATACAAACTGGGAAGATGAGGCCAGGCACGGTGGCTCATTACTGATTCACCAGCAATTTGGGGAGGCCAAGCGGGGGCCAGATCACCTGAACGTCAGGAGTCTTGAGACCAGCCTGGCCAACATGGTGAACCCCGTCTCCTACTAAAAAATCCACAAAAAATTCAAGCCGGGCGAGTGGTGAGCGCCTGTAATCCCAAGCTACTCTCAGGACGCTGAGGCAGGACAGTTGGCTTGCACGGCTAGCGAGGCGAGAGGTTCAGCTGAGCAAGATGGCACCAACTGCCACTTCCAGCCGGGTGAGCAGAGCAAGACTCTGTCCTGCTAAACCAGAAAAGAAGAAGCAGACGAAGAAGCAAAACCTGGGAAAGATGAAAGGGGCGTAGCACGTGCAGACCCGTGATCCAGTGGTCCCCCAGGGGCGCTGAGTTTTCCTTCCTCACGCAGGCTGCTTGGGCTACGATTTGCGGTTCCCAACGTGCCCTTTGTTAGAGATTGCGATTTCATTTGAACAAAAAAAGCTTCCTTATCACAAAACTTTCCTCTGTAAGGACTTCATTGAAGCTGATACGCGTGATCGTACCCAGCTGCGGCAGGCTCCTGAAGACGCCAGCGTGCTCACACTTGGCGCCTTATTCTCTTGTGCATCAGCACTTTGGCTGAGCATAGAAGCAAACATTCTCCCTGCGTATTAATCTTTCTCCTCCTTTCTTTCTTTCTTTCTTCTTCTTTCTTCCTTTCTCTCTTTCTTTCCTCTTCTTTTTTCTTTTCTTTCTTCTTTCTTCTTCTTCTCATTCTTCTTTCTTTCTCTTTCTTTCTTTCTTCTCTTCTCTTTCTTTCTTCTTTTTTCTTTCTTTCTTTCTTCTTCCTTCCATCCCTTTCTTTCACTTTTCTTCTCCTTCCTTCACATCCTCTTTCTTTCTCTTTCTTTCTGTCCTTTTTTTTTTTTTTTTTTTGAAAGTCTTGGCCAGGCTGAGCCGCAGTGGCAGCGATCTCAGCCTGCACCTGTAAACCAAACCCTTCGCCCTCCTGGGTTCAAGTGCGATTCTCCTGTATCACAGGCCTCCTGAGTACTGGAATCAGGCCACCCGGCTGTCACGCCTGCTAATTTTTGTACCTTCAGTACGACGACGGGGTTCTCACCCCTGTTGCCTCAGGCTGGTCTCAAACTCCCCTGAGGCCTCAGGCAATCCGCGCGCACTTTTGGCCTCCCCCAGAGAGCAGTGCTACAGGACTTATAGGATCATGAGCACCGCGCACCAGCGCCAATTTTTTTTCTTTCTTGCGAGACAGAGTCTCAGCTGTCGTTCCAGACCTGGCCCGTGGGCAGTGGTAGCGCATCTCAGCTCAACATGCAACTTCCAACCTCGGATTCAAGCAATTTCCTGCCTCTAGCCCTCGAGATTAGCTGGGATTACAGGCGCCCGCCACCACGCCTGGCTGGTTTTTGTATTTTTAATAGAGACGGGGTTTCACCCTGTTGTTCAGGCTGGTCTTGAACTCCTGAGCTTAAGTGATCTGACCACCTTAGCCTCCCAAAATGCTGGGATTAGAGGTCTGAGCCACCGTCCTCGGCTGACAATCAGATTTTTAAATGTTTAGCTTCACTATCCTTATAACAACAGAGCTGTTAAAGGTTTTCAGACGACCCCTCAGAACTTATAAATTATGCTAAACAATGAACCCCAAGCTGTGCCACAGTTTTTTTGTGTTGCTATTATAACACAAAATGGTTGGCCGGGTGCGGTGGCTCATGCCTATAATCCCAGCACTTTGGGAGGCAGAGGCGGGTGGATCACAAGGTCAGGAGATGGAGACCATCCTGGCTAACATGGTGAAACCCAGTCTCCACTAAAAATACAAAAAAAATTAGGCGGGCGTGGTGGCGGGTGCCGGTAGTCCCAGCTACTCGGAAGGCTGAGACAGGAGAATGGTGTGAACCCAGGAGGCGGAGCTTGCAGTGAGCCAAGATCACACCACTGCACTCCAGCTTGGGCAACAGAGCCAGACCCCGTCTCAAAAAAAAAAAAAAGGTCGAATAAACACTCATGGTTAAGTTACATGTATATTTTAGTATTGGTCATCTATTGCTGTATTTAAACATACCCTGAAATGAGGCCGGGTGTGGTAGCTCACGCCTGCAATCCCAGCACTTTGGGAGGCCGAGGTGGGTGGATCACCTGAGGTCAGGAGTTGGAGACCAGCCTGGCCAACATGGTGAAACCCTGTCTGCACTAAACATACAAAAATTATCCAAGCATAGTGGTGCACATCTGTAGTCCCAACTACTCGGCAGGCTAAGGTAGGAGAATCACTTGAACCTGGGAGGTGGAGGCTGCAGTGACCCGATATCATGCCATTGCACTCCAGCCTGGGCTGGAAGGGGAAGGGGAAGGGGAAGGGGAAGGGGAAGGGGAAGGACTCCAGTGGAATGGAATGGAATGGCTGGGATGGAATGGAATGGAATGGCTGGAATGGAATGGAATATTTAGTCTCTCTTACATTTCTGTGTGTTGGCTGGACTAGCTCAGCAAGGGCCGGATGGCTGTGTGTCTGAGGCCTTGTCTGGGACATCAGGGTCTCTCTCCTTGTGGCCTCATACCCTATAGGAAGCACCCCAGGCCGGCTCCCATGGTGATGAGGTTCTAGAAGCAGGAGGCACAGATGATCAAACTCTTCTCAAGCCTCTGTTTGCATCCCATCTGCTGATGTCCCATTGACCAAAGCAAGTCACACAGCCAGGGCCAGATTAAGGGGCAGAGAATGGCCTGGCGCCGTGGTTTACAGCTGTAATCCCAACACTTTGGGAGGCCAAGGCAGGCAAATTGCTTGAGTCCAGGACTTTGAGACGAGCCTGGACAACATGGTGAAACTCCAACTCTACAAAAAATAAAAAATTAGGCAGGCTTGGTGATGCATGCCTGTAGTCCCAGCTACTCGGGAGACTGAGACAGGAGGATCGTTTGAGCCCAGGAGACAGAGGTTGTAGTGAGCCATGATCGCGTCATTGCACTCCACTGGGTGACAGAGCGAGACTCTGTCTCAAAAAATAATAACAAAATGGCAGAGAAACAGACTTCTAGAAAAGAAGCATGGGAGAGTCAAATTGCAAAGGGATGTACATCCTGGGATGGGAGAGGTCTTGAGCCTGTTTTTGCAGCCAACCACACCTTTCTCTGATAAAGGCCTTTGGTTTTACTGGTGTAGCTTCTCCAGGTTTTGAAATCCGTTCCATTGTAGTGGGTAGCTTAAGATTATAAGTGCCTGACCGGGCATGGTGGCTCACGCCTGTAATCCCCACACTTTGGGAGACCAAGGTGGGCGGATCACCTGAGGTCAGGAGTTCGAGACCAGCCTGGCCAACATGGTGAAACCCCGTCTTTACTGAAAATGCAAAAATTAGCCAGGTGTGGTGGTGCATGCCTGTAGTCTCAGCCACTTGGGAGGCCGAGGCAAGAGGGTCCCTTGAACCCGGGAGGTGGATGTTGCAGTGAGCTGAGATCATGCCACTGCACTCCAGCCTGGGCAACAGAGTGAGATTCTGTCTCAAAAAAAAAAAAAAAAAAAAAGGTTATACATGTCAGTTCAGGCTCCATGACAGAATAATCTTCACAGCATTTCATGTAAATGCATGTGGATATTCAGCCACCATGAAGGGGAAAATCTCCCAAAACTAGGACTAGAACCAGAACTAAGGTCTCACGCCTTCATGATGCCTTCCTTCATCCTCCTCGCCTTCCTTTTTTTTTTTTGAGACAGTGTCTCGCTTTGTTAACTAGGCTGGAGTGCAGTGGCTCTATCTCAGCTCACTGCAACCTCCACCTCCTGGGTTCAAGCAGTTCTCCTGCCTCAGCCTCCCGTGTAGCTGCGGCTACAGGTGTCTGCCACCACTCCCAGCTAATTTTTGTATTTTTAGTAGAGACAGGGTTTCACCATGGTGGCCAGGCTGGTCTCGAACTCCTGACCTCAAGTGATCTGCCCGCCTCGGCCTCCCAAAGTACTGGTATTGCAGGCATGAGCCACCGTGCCCGGTCCCCTCCTTCCTTCTTTCCTTTTCTATTGATTTTACAATTGATATTATTTTTATATAAATATACATAAATACATAATGTATGTTTTCTATATGTACATTATTTTATATTTATAGTATTTCTGTTTTTGTATCAAGAGGTCAAATTTGTTCATAGTGAGTGAGCTACAAGTTCTTTTGCTGATTGTAACATTGCTGTATTAATCAACTTATATTAGCTAGTCATAGTCTCTGTTGGCAAGCTTAACCTAACATACAATTTTATAATTTCCATTGCATTCTAAGGCATTTCACTGAAAGCAGAAGCTGTCGCAGTCAAGAAAGAATCAGAAGATCCTAATTACTATCACTATAATATGCAAGGTAATACTGTTTGATGATAATTTTCTTCCCCAAAAGTTATTTGGGATGGAAGATTTTAATTACTACCTGTCTGAAAAACAGGCGAACACCCATGTATGTTTACCTAGGATTTAGCATATTGCCATTTAGAGTAAATAATCCTACAGTTATGAAATAGATTCTATTTAACCTAAATCCATGTACTCTTGTTTCTTTTTTATAGAGATGAGGTCTCACCTTGTTGCCTAGGCTGGTCTCTAACTCCTGGGCTCAAGTAGTCCTCCAGCCTTGGCCTCCAGAAGTGCTGAGATTATAGGCGTGAGCCACCATGCCTGGCCTAAATCCACATACTTTTTTTTTTTTTTTTGAGACAGAATCTTACTCTGTTGCCCAAGCTGGAGTTCAGTGGTGCTGTTTCCACTCACTGAAACCTCTGCCTCCTAGGCTCAAATGATTCTTGTGCCTCAGCCTCCTGAGGAGCTGGGATTACAGGCGTATGCCACTATGCCTGGCTAATTTTTTGTATTATTAGTAGAGACGGGGTTTCGCCGTGTTGGCCAGGTTGGTCTCGAACTCCTGACCTCAGGTGATCCACTCACCTTGGCCTCCCAAAGTGCTGGATTACAGGCATGAGCTGCCACACCTGGCCCATAAGGCTTTTAAAAAGAAGTCATAAATTGTCGAGACTGTCATGATTTTGTATCACCTAATGAAGCAATGCATCTTGGCAATAATTGTCAGTCGCCATTACAACCATTTTATAAAAGTCTGATGGAGACTTTATCATGGACAGACCTGACTGACAGTTCCTGAACTGACTGGTCACTGGTCTCCTGATGGGATCCAGCAGAAAGTACACCACACCATTTTGGTCAAGGATTCTTCAAAAACAAACAAAATCAAACCAGACCAGGTGTAGTGTCTCATACCTGTGATCACTTTGGGAGGCCAAGGCAGGTGTATCACTTGAGCCCAGGAGTTCAAAGCAGCCGGGGCAACACGGTGAGACCCCATCTCTACAAAACATACAAAAAGTAGCCAGGCGTGGTGGCGCATGCCTGTAGCCCCAGCTACTTGGGAGGCTGAGGTGGGAAGATCGCTTGAGTCTGGGAGGTCAAGGCTGCAGCGAACAATAATGACACCACTGCACTCCAGCCTAGGTGCTGAAGTGAGACTGTGTCTCAAAAAACAAAAACAAAAAAAACAAACAAAAAAAACCAATCAGACCTAAGTCTGATCCAGCCTTTAGAGCTAACCAGCAATTTTTAGGAGATACATGGAATACAGGCACATATGAAAACATCACCACTAGGACATAGTCAATAAAATCCAGAATGTGAGAAACTCAGATAAATTCATTGCTTTACTTTTTTTTTTTTTTTTTTTTTTGAGACAGAGTCTCGCTCTGTCGCCCAGACCGGAATGCAGTGGCATGACTGTGGCTCACTACAACCTCCACCTCCCAGGTTCAAGTGATTCTCCTGGCTCAGCCTCAAGAATAGCTGAGATTACAGGCGTGTACCACCACGCCCGGTTGATTTTTGTATTTTTGGTAGAGAAGGGGTTTCACCATGTTGGCCAGGCTGGTCTCAAACTCCTGACCTCAGGTGGTGGCAACCTGCCTGCCTTGGCCTCCCAGAGTGCTGGGATTACAGGCATGAGCCACTGCACCCAGCCGAGGAGGGGATTTCTATTCGTAAAAAATGTCAATGTTAGGCCGGGCGCGGTGGCTCAAGCCTGTAATCCCAGCACTCTGGGAGGCCAAGACGGGCGGATCACAAGGTCGGGAGATCGAGACCATCCTGGCTAACACGGTGAAACCCTGTCTCTACTAAAAAATACAAAAAACTAGCCGGGCGAGGTGGCGGGCGCCTGTGGTCCCAGCTACTCGGAGGCTGAGGCAGGAGAATGGCGTGAACCCGGGAGGTGGAGCTTGCACTGAGCTGAGATCCGGCCACTGCACTCCAGTCTGGGCGACAGAGCGAGACTCTGTCTCAAAAAAAAAAAAAAAAAGTCAATGTTATAAAACACAAAGACAGACTATGGAACCGTTCCTGATTAAAGGAGATTTAAAAGACACGACAACTGGAAACACTACCTTGCCCTAAACTGGCTCCTGTACTGAAAAGAGAAAAGCGCTTAAGGACATTCGAGTCAGCTGAGAAAGTTGCAATACCCATGATAAAACGGATCCAGGTGTCGTCTTACAGCTAAATGTCCTGGTTTTAAAAGCTTTATTGTGATTGTGTAAAGGAATGTCCCTATTCTTAGGAAACAGTCACTGAATTATTTAGAGATCAAGCACAGTGGCGAACCCATCTCTACCACCAAAAAAGTATTAAATTAGCCAGGCACAACCCGCGCGGTGCGCCTCCAACAGCCTGTAATCCCCAGCAACTTGGGAACGCCGAGGCGGGTGGATCCCTTGAGCTCAGGAGTTGGAGATCAGCCCGCTGGCCAACATGGGTGAAACTGGTCTCTACATAAAAAATACAAAATTAGCCCAGGCGTGGTGACCACCCAACACTGTAGCCCAGCTTACTCAGGAGGTTAAGCCAGGAGAATTTGCTCGAACCGGCGACAAGGCAGGGTTTGCAGTGAAGCCAAGGACTGACGCAACCAAACTGGCACTCCAAGCCTGGGTGACATGAGTGAAGAAACCCTCTGTCCAAATACAGAACAATAAATAGAAAAGTTAGCCAGGTTCATTGCTGCGTGCCTATAGGTCCCAGCTATCTCAGGCAGGTTGAAGGTTGGGAAAGGATTGTTTGAGTCAACAAGGACGGGTTCCAGGCTGCAGGCAAATATCCTAATCATATCCCCAACACTCTACCCGCGACCCGGGCAAACAGGTAAGAACTGTCTAATCAAATAAATAATACAGAAAAAGATAATAAAATAAATCAACCACCCCCATTTTTCCAAATAAAAACTTAAAAAAAAAAAAAAGGACATTTTATGCGTGCCTGGGCAATACGGTGGTTCACACTCTACATCCAGTGCTTTGCGGGAGCCCGAGGTGAGCACACCCCCTTGTACAGTGAGCTCGAGGAGTTCAAGATCAGCCTTGGCGCATACAACAGCGAACCTGTCTGGTACAGAACACAATCTTTAAAAAATAGCCGAGTAGGCCAGGCGCCCGGTGGCATCAAGCTGTAAATCCAGCGGTTCTTGGGGAGGCGCTGAGAACGGGTGGACTCACGAGTCCAAGGTGCAGATCGAAGACATCCTGGCCTAAAGGTGGAAACCCCGTCTCCCTACTGAAAAAATACAAAAAAATAGCCCGCGACGGTGGCGGGAGCAGCATGTAGTCCCACGATACTCGGGGGAGGCTGAAGGCAAGAGAATGGCGTAACCCCGGCGAGGCGGAGCTTGGCAGTGAGCTGAGATCCCCGGCCACTGCCACTCCAGATCTGGGAGACACAGGGAGACTCCGTCTCAAAAAAAAAAAAAAAAAAAAAAAAACAATTAGCCGGATATGGTGGCATTGTCGTCCCGGCCGCTTCGTCCTCCAGCGCTACCTGGCGAGGGACTGAGGTGGGACGCAACTCGCTTTGAGCCCAGGGCGGCTGGAGCAGGTTGCAAAGTGCAGCCCAATGGAACTCACCGCCACTGGCATCCTAGCCCCAGGGTGACCAGTGGAGGACCCAGCTGGGTCTCAAATAAATAATAAATATAAATAGACAACTAGGCGAAATTAAACAATGAAACTAGATACATCCAGACCACCAGGGAAATGACGAAACGATTGTTAATCTTTTGAACGGGTAAATCCCTGAAATCTATTGTGGTAATGCAAAAAAGGAAGACAGGCCTTAATGTCTTACTTATTTCGTCTTACGGTATTACCACCGTGGATTCTAATCGAACCACAGCTCCGGGACCTCGTCCTCCTTACACCAGTTGGGCACCCAGAGGGGTGGGGTGGCCGTGCAACAGATGAAACAAGGTTACCTGGCCTGGTGGTCGTGGGTGCTTCACTCCGTTGTGACTCTCTGGTGCTTCTGGGTATGTTTCCAAATTTTCCAAATAAAATAAGAAAAGTAAACAAAAGGAAATCATTTGTTTTGAGGGTTTTATTTATCCTATTTTATATTTTTTTGGGGGATGGAGTCTTGGCTCTTGTCGCCCAGGCTGAGTGGTGTACCTCGTTCAACTACAACCTTCTGCCTCCTGGGTTCAAGTGATTCCTCTGCCTCAGCCTGCTACCTATGAGTAGCCTGGGACTAGAGGTGCCTGCCACCACGCCCAGCTAATTTTTGCATTTTAGTAAGAGAT